CGAGGAAGCTTCTGGAGGTGGCCAGCCCCAGGGGCAACCCCGAGATCTCTGTGAAGAGGGTACGTTTCATCCAGGATGAGTGCCAGACTCAGCCCCACCAGAAAGCTATCTGGCACGGGACTGGAGAGAAAGAGGCCCCCCAGCTCTCTGGACCGCCCCCACCTGGCCCTGCTGTGGACAGCGCCCTGCCCACCAGGCAGAAGACTGCTCTGGAGCTGCAGACAGCGCCGGGTGGCTCCCGGCACTACGGAACCACAGGAACAGTGGCTGAGAGGGTGGACCGGAGCGGGACCACAGCACTCACGTCCCCCACCACGGTCGCTGAGCCCGCCGAGCCACCCAGGGGCCCAGGCCCCCACCTCGGGTGCCACACTTCCCCCTTGATGAGGCAGTTTCTGCGCAGCCCGGCTGGGCTCAGCATGGGACTGGCAGGAGCTGAGACGCCGCGTGTGCCCTGTGGCCACCCCACACCAGCTGCGCAGTGAGCCCCTCCGTCTGCTACCAGTCTTCCACCCATCCCCAGGGACCCGGGACGGAGGTGGGTGCTCACCTCCTGCACGCACGAGGAAGGAACCAAGAAGAAAGGGCATGTTCTGAGATTCACGGAAAGTTTCCCCTTCATCAGTACCATCCATGGGCCAGGTTCTCGCAAAAGGCAGCAGGGGATGGTAGGGAAGAAGCCCTCCGGAGTAGCCCAAGCCCAGCAACAGAACGGGGGCTTGTGGCTGCTTGTGGAGGATATAATGTGTACAGAAACACACGCTTCTCACACAGGCCTGGCCCGCACACCAACACGAGTGAGTCTGCATGCCACTGCCGGTGATAGAGCCCCCTGAGCGACCTTCCACTTTTTCAGCCTTTATTTCTTTTAATACAAGTCAAATGTTCTCAGCCTTCTGCTCTTTAAATCCTACAAAGGACAGGGCCAGCCGGATTGGTCTCTGTTACATGTTGACTAGGGCCCCAGAAGGGCCCTGTCATCAGCGTCTCCCTCATTCAGCGGGTCATCCTGGCAGCACAGAGTTCACACAGACAGTCTGCGATCACCAGTGTCCCTAGAAGCCAAAGATTCTCTCCACCCCCACGGCCTCTCACTTTGTACCCCAAAGAGGAAGCATACAGTCTAATAAACCAAAGTTTTATCCCCTCCTCTCTGCGTCTGTCTGTACAGAGTCTGGGTTCTCACTCTAGGGGAAAAGCAGCCACATCTCTAGCTGCCGTGTTCCTGCAAACAGCAGTGTCGGAAGGCTCTGAAAAGCCAGCCCCTTCTACCATCTCGGCTGGGAACCAGAGAGGCCATCCCCCTGTCTCCTTACTCCCCACGCCCCTACACATACACACACTGCTGGCCCCACACCTCTGGCTTCCCCACATAGAGGTTCTTGGACATCACCCTGGAGTGGAATCTGCTGAGAGTGGAAGAATGGCCCAGTCAGGCCCAGGAAGGAGGGAGGGTCACAAGCCAGGAGAACTCCAATGGCCAAGACGACTAGGCCGCTTCCTCCCGGTCAGACCAGGTACAATGTGCAGAGCTTCCTGGGAAGGGGAGGGCACAGATCCCAGCCTGGAAAGCCAGGATGATTTGGTAAAGGACCTTTTCCAGACTTTCAAAAAGCACTGAGCACTTGCTGCATGCCAGACCGGTTCTGGGCAGCATGGACCCAAAGGTAAGGTCTAATGGGATCATTAGACTCTATCACACTCAAGGAACTGACTCTCTAGAATGAGAAGGGTATGAATAAATAGTAACTATCAGATGAGGAATAAGGGTGATGCACCTGACTAGGCCACTCTCCCACTCTGGGGTAGGAATCAGAAAACATGTTGTGACAGTGACAGGTAGAGAATGTGGCCAAGGCAGATCTCCCCAAGGGGGGAAGAAGAGTTTTCAACTGAGATCTTAGTAACAAAAAGCCAATTACCAGGCAATGGGCAGGGGTGGGGAGTGCCAGTTAAGCAGATGAGGACACGCAAAAACCCAGAGGTGGGAGTGAGTATAATTTCTGCATTTCCTAAATACCCTTCAGTATGTTGTTGTTCAGTTGCTCAGTTGTGTCCAACTCTTTGTGACCCCATGGATTGCAGCACGCCAGGTTTTCCTGCCCTTCACTATCTCCCAGAGTTTGTTCAAATTCATGTCCACTGAGTCAGTGATGCTTTCTAACCATCTCATCCTCTGTCGCCCCCTTCTCCTCCTGCCTTCACTCTTTCCCAGGATCAGGGGCTTTCCCAGTGAGTCAGCTCTTTGCATCAGGTGGCCAAAATATTGGAGTTTCAGCTTCAGCATCAGTCCTTCCAATGAATATTCAGGGTAGATTTCCTCTAGAATTGACTGGTTTGATCTCCTTGCTATCCAAGGGACTCTCAAGAGTCTTCTCCACACCACAGTTCAAAAGCATCAATTTTTCGGCACTCAGCCTTCTTTATGGTCCAACTCTCACATCTGTACACGACTACTGGAAAAACCATAGCTTTGACTATACAGACCTTGATAGGCAAAGTGATATTCCTGCTTTTTAATACACTGTCCAGGTTTGTCATAGCTTTTCTTTCAAGAGGGAAGTGTTTTTTAATTTTGTGCCTGCAGTCACAGTCTGTAGTGATTTTGGAGCCCAAGAAAATAAAATCTGTCACTGCTTCCACTTTTCCCTCTTCTATTTACCATGAAGCTATGGGACCAGATCGGAGATGGCAATGACAACCCACTCCAGCACTCTTGCCTGGAAAGTCCCATGGAGGGAGGAGTCTGGTGGGCTGCAGTCCATGGGGTTGGGAAGAGTCGGACACGACTTAGGGACTTCACTTTCACTTTTCACTCTCATGTATTGGAGAAGGAAATGGCAACCCACTCCAGTGTTCTTGCCTGGAGAATCCCAGGGACGGCGGAGCCTGGTGGGCTGCCGTCTATGGGGTCGCACAGAGTCGGACACGACTGAAGCGACTTAGCAGCAGCAATAGCAGCATGGGACCAGATACCACGATCTTAGTTTTTTGAATATTGAGTTTACCCTTCTAAACAGAAAGAGGCTTTATCAACAATTGTCCACCCCTACATGCATACACACACACACACACACACACACACACACACACACACACACACACCCTACCCCCAACAAGGTTAGGTAGGAACTTTTCCAGTTTGCTTTTATTGAACAGGTGGGCTCCCATCTTACCACCAGGGCTCAGTTCTCCACACCCCTCCCAGATTCATCATTGCCTGCTCCACTGACAGGTGTTCCCCTGAGGCAGCAGAGCTCTGAGCTGGAAGCAGCCTGCCCCCTGAAGACTGGTGTATGTGAGCAATTAAGATAGCAAATCTACCTACCTGGAATGACCACACATCTTACTGTTACCCCCTCACCATGTGTTCCCCTCCACTGCCCTCTGTTGGTCTCACTTGATTACAGGGCCCAGCAGCTTAAGGCATGCCTGTTCTCGGTGTTCTCATTCCTTAAGTGGGGACGATTATAGTGCCTACTATTCTGAAGATTAAGTGAATTAATATGCATAAGGTGCTTGGAGATAGGCCCAGTGTCTGGAACTCAAGAAAGTTCACTAAACAGACATTTCTCCAAAGAAGACATACAGATGGCTAACAAACACATGAAAAGATGCTCAACATCACTCATTATCAGAGAAATGCAAATCAAAACCTCAGTGAGGTACCATTACACGCCAGTCAGAATGGCTGCTATCCAAAAGTCTACAAGCAATAAATGCCGGAGAGGGTGTGGAGAAAAGAGAACCCTCTTACACTGTTGGTGGGAATGCAAACTAGTACAGCCACTATGGAGAACAGTGTGGAGATTCCTTAAAAAACTATAAATAGAACTGCCATATGACCCAGCAATCCCACTCCTGGGCATACACACAGAGGAAACCAGATCTGAAAGAGACACGTGTACCCCAGTGTTCATTGCAGCACTGTTTATAATAGCCAGGCCATGGAAGCAACCTAGATGCCCATCAGCAGACGAATGGATAAGAAAGCTGTGGTACAAATACACAATGGAATATTACTCAGCCATTAAAAAGAATTCATTTGAATCAGTTCTAATGAGGTAGATGAAACTGGAGCCCATTATACAGAGTGAAGTAAGCCAGAAAGAAAAACACCAATACAGTATACTAACCCATATATATGGAATTTAGAAAGATGGTAACGATAACCCTATATGAAAGACAGAAAAAGAGACACAGATGTACAGAACAGACTTTTGGACTCTATGGGAGAAGGCGAGGGTGGGATGATCTGAGAGAACAGCATCGAAACATGTTTATTATCAAGTGTGAAACAGATCGCCAGTCCAGGTTGGATGCATGAGACAAGTGCTCAGGGCTGGTGCACTGGGAAGACCCAGAAGGATGGGATGGGGAGGGAGGTGGGAGGGGGGTCAGGATGGGGAACACATGTAAATCCATGGCTGATTCATGTCAATGTATGGCAAAAACCACTACAATATTGTAAAGTAATTAGCCTCCAACTAATAAAAATAATTGGGGAAAAAAATAAAAAGAATAGCTTCTTGGTAAAAAAAAAAAAAAAAGAAAAGAAAGTTTACTTTTCATATTATAATTGTTAGTTTTAATCTCTTTTTCTCACCTCCAGGTGGAGTCCCTGTCTTGTTTATCTCAGTATCCTTACTGCTTATCACGAGTGCCTAGAAGGCACTGCACAAATGTCGAATAAATGCACCCATGTGTGAAATGAAATGATTGAGTGAATTCACTGATTCATCCACCTAACATTTATTGAGCACCTACTTCATGCCAGATGCCTTCCAGGGAATACAGATGAACATGGCAGAATTTATCCCTGACCTCATGGTACTTAGACAGGGAAGACATATTACAAACAGAGAAGGTAATTTTAGAAGGGAGCAAAGGAAATAAGACAAGTAGCCCACAAGAAGGTCGGCAGTTACTTTAGCTTGGGTGGTTGGGGACGGCATCTCTGAGGAAGTGACCTGAATGACAAGAGGAGCCAGTCCTAGCAGCTAAAGGGGGCGGTCTACGGGGGAGACCGGAGAGGTTGGTTGGGTGGGTGGTGAGCACACCGGTGGCAGCGCGCACCAAGAAAAGCAGCAGCTACTCGTTGAGGCCTCGCCCAGGGGCCTGCACACCTCCCGTCCCACCTGCCGCCGAGCCCGAAGCACCGCCTCCCTTCCTGCCCGAGAGGGGGCGGGGCTTTGAAGCGTGGCGTGGGTGCCCAGACCCCGCCCCGTGCCTGGAGGGGGCGTGTTCCCATCTGCTGTCTCCAAGGTGACGATGACATCACCCGGGCCGCTGGGTTCGGAACGTTTTGGGCGGCTGTAGCCGTTGCTGGGAAACGCCAGGCAGGCAGGCGCGCAGCCAGGGGCAAGCTCCGCGCGGCAGACGCCGGACGCCAGTAAGCGCCGTCCTGGCCGGCCCCAGCTCAGGGCCTCCCTCCCAGATTCCAGAAGGATGCGGGTTCCGGTCCTCACCCACGTTGCGGCCCCGCCCGGGACCTTCCTGCCGGCCGGGCGCCTCCTCCCTTCTCATTACTCTGTCACTGCCTCCATTCTGAGTTTACCCAACAGTCCTCATCTTCACCGCTATCATCCTGTCTCAGGCCACCACCCATCCCCCATTTACTGGACCACTGCCAGAGCCTCCCAAGTGGTCTTCCCTTTGCCCCGTCTTTACAGACCGTCATCCACCTGGCACCTAAATTATCAAGAATTTACCAGACCAAGTCACTCCTGTATAATACTATATGCAAGCTTTCAGCTCGCTCAGTCTGAAATCTAACTCTTCTCAGCGGCCTCTAAGACCAGAATGACTTGCCTCTCAAGCTTCCTCTCCGACTTCTTTGCCCCACTCTCCTCCTCACCCACATCTCCCTAGTTACATTGGCCTTCCTGGTTTTCACAGAACACACCAAGCTAATTCCTGCCTCAGGACCTTTGCACCTGCTGTATCCTCTGCCCAGAAGTCTCTTCTCCCAGATCTTTAGTGGTTGGGCTCTTTCTCACTCACATTCCAGTTCAAATGTCTCTCCAAAAAGACCTTTCTTGATCTATACCTCCCTTGCCTCCCCCACTTATCCCTCCCCCTCCCCCCATCTATAGAGGCCTTCCTCCAAGTTAACATGCTGAGTTATTTTTGTTTTCCTGAGGACCCATTACAATATAAAATTATCTTTGTTCACATACTTGCTTGTTTAATGTCAGTGTTCTGGATACTATTCCTGCATAGCAAACCACCCCAAGTTTAGTGGTCTAAAAAACCATTTTATGATGCTCATGAAGTCTGTGGGTCAGCAATTTGGATAGAACACATTGAACATTGCTTGTCTCTCTTCTATAATGTGTGGGGCCTCAACATTAGCCTCTGTCTAAGGCTGGGGGTAATTTGACAGTTAGGGTCTGAAAACTCTCTCACTCAGATGCCTGGCAATGGAGGCTGACTATTGGCTGGGACCTCAGCTGGGATGTCAGATAAACCACGTATGCATGGCCTCTCCATGTGGCCTGGGCCTCCTCAAAGTATGCCATTCTCAGAGTGGCTGGATTTCCTGCAATTTATTTCAAGTTTCCCAAGGCATGTGTCCCAACTAACAAGACAGAAGTTGCATCACCTTTTATGATCTGGCCACAGAAGTCACACAAAGTCACTTGGGCTGCATTCTGTTGGTTACAAATGAGTCACAAATCTGCTAGACTGAATAGAAGGGCTATTAGACAGTACCTTTTGATGAGGAAGAGGTGATCGTCTTTGGAAAGTCCCATCTCCACAGCCAAGTCTTCCTCCACTGGAATGTCATCTCCACGCCAACCACTTCTTTGCTTCTTTTTGTATCTCCAGCATCTAGAATGGTACAAAAGCACATAGTAGGAGCTCAATCCATGGTTTCTGGTGAATAAATGAAGGCTTGTCTTTCACTGAGTCATTCAAGCCCAGTTCTTCTCCCTTAAAGTATAGCTCCTGTCTCAGCCCTTGATTTTGGCCTGGCCTGCTCTGGAGGAAGCCCAGTGTTTGCATTGGAAGGTGGGAGACAAGCATAGTTTTTGGTTTGTTTTTTGTTTTCTGGCAGGGAGTGGAGGGTGGGGGAGAAAGGGCAGTTATTGGGGACTGAGAAACATGTAGCCAAATGAGATTCTGGAACAGTGATCTACTGTAGGGGTGTTGAAAACCCAGTCTGTTTTTTCTCATTCTGAACTCTGGAAATGCCCAGGTGAGGACTGTGGTTTTGTCTTCTGGCCCACGGGGAGCAGGAAAACAGCCCAATGGGAATGGAGCTTTGGAGAGGTGCCTTGGGCAGGAGAGAGGGGGATGGAATAGCTAGTAGGAACCACCGCAGAGATCTGGGCAAGAGGTGGCCCTGAAGCCCCCTAAACATCTATTAAGGTAGGCAAACTCTCCCTGCTTTGTGACTGGTGAAGGACCTTTCATTTGATCTTTCCAAAGTCCTGGAACCAGTACAGTTTCTCCTCTTGCTTTTTCCTTTCCAAGAGGGATGACCCAGAGAAGTCAGCCCAGGCTTCTCCAGGTCCCAGGCCCCTCACATCAATCTGTGGCTTCCATCTCAACTGTGGCTCAGGAGAAGTTTGGATGTCATTAAGGCAACAGCCAGCCCACCTCCAGTTCTACCCCCGGTCAGGCCCAGCAGTGGCTCCTCACCACCTCCACCATAAAATCCACTCCTCAGGTCATTCAAGGCCCTTCTTGTGCAGCTGCCACCTGTGTTTATAGCCTCTTTCATTCCCCCAAGAGAATCAGACCTTCCATGTCCTTTAATGTTCTATCCAGACTTTGTCATGCTGTCCGGCCTTTGTCCAGGGGCAGCTTACCCACTGGGCACAGCAGGCATGGATGGAGCCTCAGGCCCACAATACTTGAGGGGTCCATGAAAATATTCTAACTTCTTTCAAAATCAGAAGGAAAAAAACAACTTTGAAGTAAAAGAAAACAGTTTAATATATAACATTAGTATCTTCATCTTTAACCACCACAGTTGTAAAATATATTCTTAAAAAAATTTTTTTTTTTTTTTTTTTGGAAGCAGCAGCCCCCTCATTTCGCCTTCCTGTCATTTCTGGATAGCTTTGTATTGAAGACTCAGCTCTGAGGCAACCCCTTCAAGGAAACAAAAGCCATGGAGGTTGTCCTTCTCTGACCTCTCAACCTTGTGCAGTTTTGTAGCTTGGAAAACACCATTGTAAACTTTCGATTTGTTGCGTTTCCCGTGCCCCGCCCCCGCTGGTACCTGCCCGTCAGTGACACACACAAGTTTTTCCCCCAAGAAGTTACCCGCTCCGCACCTGTGGCAGAGCTGCCAAGTAAGACGTTGACCTAACTTCGGAAGAAAACTGGCAGAGGCTCAGCTTGGGGCCCCGCGTCCCAAACTTGTAGTGACAGGCGCCGGGATCCACATCCCGTGGGAGGCGCGGGGGCAGGCGTGGGGAGGCAGAGAGGTAGGGGGCGGGGCCTCAGGTCTCGCCGGCGGCAGCTCGGCGGCCAGCCCCACCCACCCCCGACCGGAAGGAGGAAGAGGCCTCTGCGCGGCTCCCTCCCTGCTTCCCCGGGAGCTCCGGCGTCCCTCCCCGGACGCACCCCCTTCCTCCTCCCCCGTTAGTTTTCTAACGAAAAAGTGCTGCTGAGAATTCCCAGAAGGTCCCGGATGTGAAGTCACCGGCGTGAGGTCACCGAGCCTGGTTCCAGGAATCTGAATATTGTGGGGGAGGAAGGAAAGCGCCGAAAACAGAGGAGCCAGGGGAGTGAGTGGAGCCGTGGGTGTTGTCGGCGGGGCCGCCTGGCTCCGCTGAGTCCCGCGCTTGTCTCCAGCTGGGTCTTCTGACCCCAGGAGATGTTCCAAGGAAAGAGATGCTTTACTTCTCCCATAGTAAAGAAATGCCAACTGAAACCAGTATACTGATCCAAAAAAAAAAAAAAAAAATCCACTGTTGGTGGGGGGAGGGGTGGAAGGATGGGAGAGAAGTGGAGAACAACCTGGCAATAGGATCAGAATTTTAAATGAAAATGTCTTTCGACCTAACAGTTGGGCGTACAGTAGCTCTGTCACCTACTGACTTACCTTGGAAATCGTACAGTATCACTTCTTCAAGTTTGCTCATGACAGGTCATTAAAACCGGCCCACATTAGAGGCAAGAGGTATTACATTCCTTCTTGTAATAAGTGTGAAAGAATGTGCAGTCATGTTTTTAAACCATCAAATGTTACTATTGTGGCCCTTAGTATACTTGTGTTTTCCAGTAAGTAAAGCATCTCACGTCATATCTATCAACTCCACGCGCCAGGGCAGAGATTCACTGGATTCATTAAGATCCCGCCCCCTCCACGCCTGAATGAACCTAGGGCCCTGGTTCACTGCAAATCTCCGTAGATGGTACAGAAATGAATTTTGCAGGAACTGGACCTGGACATTGTACTCCAGTTCCATCGGATGGCATCCCTGTTGGCCCTACAGAAATCACCATGAACACATGTGAGAATTGTGTGAGGGGGATATGAGTGGGGCATGGCAGGTCTGCTACACAGACAAGCAACTTTGTTCCCATACATTTCATAAATGTGAGGTCAGTGGTCATTCCCACAGAAATCTCATTATCTTTATAATCATCATCATGGTCTTGTAGGAGCACCTGTACCACTAGAAGTGAGTTGGTCAGTTCAGCTCAGTTCATAGTAAAGAGAATGCCACTGACTCTAGTTCAACTTGGTTAAAAGATTTTCACACCTTTTACACGTGATTGTTTTCATGTGTTATATTTCCATTTTATTGTTACTATTATATGATAGTATATCACCAAATCATAAAAATGGGTCAGTAGTTTAAAGGAGGTTCACTAAAGCATAAAAATAGTATTGAAAATAGCAATAAAAATACTGCAGTATAAATTATGACCACATATACCAGGGTAAATGAGTGTGTAGGATGGGATAATTTTATACAAACAGAAAAAAAAGAAAAAGTGTGACTCAGATATGGTAACAAATACCTGAAAATGGAATTTTGTTGGTTGGTAATCATCTCCTTTAGTCCCAGAGGCATCATCTCTTATGAAACTTTGTCAAATAGTGGCAGGAAGCCCCCTGAGACTTTTTGCATCCTCTTCACATCAGATCCTGTAAGCTAGATAGAAAACCAATCGTCTTTCCATAATATGGGTAAATGTCCAGTGTAGTCAGAATACATTTTGTCACTAAAGACAGAGAAAAGATCAAACCCAGAGAGGCATCATTAAAGTTGTCTACCTTACAGTGAAAACGAACACAATTCAAACCATGACTTGTAAACTGAGTCATAGGCTACTGAGGAAAAGCAGAGCAAGCTCCTGGCAAAATTACTTGATCAAACAACATTTTTGGATGTCACATAAAATCAATGGCACATAGTGTGAAAGAGCAATGGCTGTCCGGAGTGAGTGCTAGCAGACAATGGGCTTTATTGTTGAATACAAACCACTTGTGGCAAGCCTTGTTCATTGTTGATCCAGAAATTTATTCCATCCCTTCTTTCCTAATAACAGATTCCTGATTTTGATCCATGCACCAAGGTCTCCAGTCTCAGGCAATTAATTACAAGTGGTCTAAATCAACCATGACCAGCCCATTTTCCACTCTCCCAATCTCCCTTGCTGTTACATGAGATCCGGTTCTAGTCAATGAAATATGATGACAAGTCTACTGAGGGTATTTCTATAAAAAGTTTTAGTTTTGTTTTTTCAGAAAATGGATATACATGCTGGTATCCCCCACCTCCCCACTTCTTCCTAACTTAACCATGGTCATGATGCTTGGGCAGCCGTCTTGCAAATATGAAGCAACCAGCTTAAGGTAAAAGCTGAGAGAATTCTAGAGACACCAGTACTGACATTATGTCAGTGGCTACCACCTTCCAACCTTCCCATTACAGTACACAAGTAAATGGTAGTGGATTATTGATCACTGAAAGCATTCCTATTGAGTGCACTACTAATGTGTCAGGCTGGCCACATATCTTCCAAAAACACAGGAGGGAAATGTACCTGCTGACTTTTTGTTCTATTTCTCACTGAATTCCTTTGCAAGATTAAATGACTAAGCTTCTGGCTTCCAATTGGGTTCAGCCATGGTGAGGCCCAGCAGAGAAAGGAGAGGGAAGAGAAAGAGATCAAGGCATTTAGTCCTTTGGTTTCCTGCCTGTGAGTCTCTGTGGGTTGGATGTATCCTCTAGTGGGGCGCCACTGGTCTTCCCAAGGCAGCCAGCCTACCCAGTTCTCTCCCTTATAGTAACCCTCTGGAGCTCAGCTTCAGGCCTATTGGTAGTAACAGCTCTGCTGCTGCTCATCCAGGTTACTGCACCATCCCTTGGGGTGCTCCTACACCCACATGCTTGTAAGTAGTCCCTTTGTAAATAAGCTTTCCTAAAATGATACTGTTTTGAGTGTGCTATTATCTCTTGGTACGCTAACTGATGAGATTTAAAAGAAAACGCACACACAACTTGCATCTGAACACCAACCACACATGACTATATTCACAAAGACCAGCTGTCAGGCAACAATCTGGCTCCTGATCTCGATATGTGCAGAAACAAGTAGCAAGAAGAGTCAGTGCCCTCCATTCATGCCTCTCCAGAAGACTGCGGAGACATGGACAGAAAGTAAAAGACACTGTTGAACTAAGTATGCTGGCTGTTGAGGGTAAGATATTCACATGAGGTTTTGAAATAAGAGATGAGATACAGCATCCCTTTGTGGCGCCGATAGCTCTTTGCTGTAGGTG